CTGATTAGTAAGTTTCTGCTGGCCGGTTGTGAGGCAGGGTAATAAATCACTCCTCTCTTTTGAAGTTTTTTGAAGTTTTAAAGTTCTGTAGAATTTAACAAGGCAATTAAGAAAATAATCATTGTTACAGAAGAGTCCAGCCGGCTCGGCGCCATTTTAAAAGCCTCTAAGTAAATAGATTTTCGGAAGAAGATCTTGTAAAAAAATGAAGCTAGGATTTGGATAAACAATTAATGTCCTCGCAAATACAGGCTCAGCTCATATTAAAATTAAATAAATCAAACTGTGAACTGAGTGGGAGGAAGCTTACTTTGCACTGCGCAAGGCAGTTGGAAATTCCCAGCACGGACGCCGTTCTTCCTCAGGCTGGCCCCCCTCTCTCCACAGACACAGAAGCTGCAAAAATCAGAGGGCATTTGCCAGCAGAACTATATCTTCTTCCCTTCTTGCCTAAAGGATAAGAAACCTGTTAGATGTCTGGTAGATGATCATCTAAACAGATACACAACCAGGAATTCGGGAGCAGCTGTGTTAAGCTGCTTCCATCAGTAAGCTCACCCAGGAACCGCCACCCGACTCCATACTTAATTCTGTGTGACAGCAGGAAAAAAATACATTAGACCTAGACTAATACAAATATTATACCAAAAATACTCTGGAAAAGAAATACCAACAAGAGCCGTGGTGGCGCAGTGATTAGAGCTACTTCTGCTGACTGCCAGCTGACTGCAATTTGGCATTTCGAATCTCATCAGGTTCAAGATTGACTCAGCCTTCCATCCTTCTGAAGTACCGGTAAAATGAGGACCCAGATTGTTGGGAGCAATATGCTGACTCTGTAAACATATTGCTCCCAACAATCTGGGTCCTCATTTTACCGGTACTTCAGAAGGATGGAAGGCTGAGTCAATCTTGACTCTGTAAACCACTTAAAGTTCTGTGAAGCGATATATAAGTCTAAGCGCTAAGTGGTAACATTGTCAAAACAAAGAAGGGGTCCCTCAATTACTCTAACTCAAGACTGTGGGAAGAGCCAGATTTTAAGGACATAAATAGGAGATGGGCCATGAATATTTGAGGAGACATTGTTCCAGAGGGCAGGTACTGCAATAGAAAAAGCATACTCTTGGGTTCCATGAGATGACACTGTTTAATCCATAGGATCTGGAGAATGACAAGTCTACCCAATCAGACATTATAGGAAGAATGTACCAAAGGAGCATGAAAAATGCAAATAAATAAGTACAAATAAAATAATATTTCCATTTGCAGAAATTAGCAGGTTTTTTTCTTTAAAAATGAACTGGTGAATGACTAAATTTGGAAGAGGAGGCTTAAAACACAACACACATATCTCAGGCACATTTTATATCTGATTCATGCACTTGAAGCTTTTTTTTTTCATTTCATCCCCCATCAACATTTAAAATAAGTTTAAGTTAACTTCTGTACCAGTTTTAAAGTAGTGGTTTCCCTTTAAATGAGCAACATCCCATGCATGCACCCACTAACCACAGAGCACAATCAAATTTCTACAAGTATCTTTTCTTGCCTAGCTGGGTGTGAAATAAACTTGGAAAGTGCAATAGGAACTTCCTTTCCTATGTTTTATTAGTAAGTTTACTAAGGGAGGGTTTCTTTAAACATTTTGAATCTTGTTTCTCTGTGGGGTTTTTTTTTTTTTTTTGGCCTATGGAACTAGATGTAATTATTCATTAACTCTTTTCACACATTTGGTTTGTTTAGGGCTTATATTCTCTCTCCACAATTTCTCAAATCATGGCATGTAAAAGATTTTCTGACTTCCATTGGTGGCTTTGTCAGGTGATCCATAGGGAACAGCCTGGTATCTCATGACAAACGTGGAGTATTGCACGCACACTCTTTTTCTCAGGAAGTATTGCACACACACTCTTTTTCTCAGGAAGTATTGCAGGCACACCCTTTTTCTCAGGAAGAGGATGAGCTGGGCCAGCTGCTAGTTCAGCTGTACCTGGGCTTTCCCCACCACAGCTTATGAAGCAGCTGTTTAATAGTCTAAGAACCTGCCCATTAAAGCAGAACAGCTCCCAGTATACCATACACTTTCCCCAGCTCGCCAAATGGTTAAGTGAACGTTTAACAGCTGGGGTCTCAAGAGACCTGACTCTCTGGCTTTAATGAGCACCTCTACAGTGTGACAGGTTTCCTCTTTTGATGTAAATTGTAAAGCAGGGGAGAAGAGTTTGCCATCTTTCAAAACTTGGTATCTCCCCAAGTGGGTATCACTGTCCTGACTGGAAGATTATTTCATTCTAGCAGGTGGCATTCAGAACACAAATGAGCAATAAAGCCAGAAAGTTTCACCACACATTTTACTCAATACACTCTGCATATTCAGAATCCAGCTGTCAACCCCGAAGCCATTTTGGAGCATCTTCAGGGCTGCCACAGCAGGCCTGGCTGGAGCTGTGGGAAATGGAGTGGGGAGATAGAGATAGCTGGGGACTTGTAACCAAAATAAAATTCTTTATCCTGGGAACCAAGGACATTCTCACTAGATGCTGGGGAGGAGTGAACTGAAACCACCTGGAGTTTGGACTGTGATCAGATTGACCATGTGATGGATATATTTTATGTACTGGGGGGAGGAACTTTGGCTATTAATTTGCATGTGGAAAAGCGTTTCAGAGTTGGAGTTTCACCAGATGCACCAATACGACACGCCTAATACATTTGGACTTTGATAGGCACCCTGGCCTTGGAGTTTTGATTGTATTGGGTCTGTTACTTGGAACCCTAACAACAGCTTCAAGCCAAAAGAGAAGCAATCATGACCACAAATTTTTTGCAAGTAAAATTTTCCACCAATTTGAAGATGGTAAACAGCACTTTAGTTCAAAATCTAGTCTCATGCATAAAACAGATAAGTGGAGATAAGATACCACTGCTTGATATATGATCATTGTAAACCCCCTTGAAAGTACATTTTGTTCCTTTTTTAACACAGTACTTCTCTTCTGTTATTTAAACTAACAGAAACAAATCAAAAGATCAAAGATTAAAATTTAATGAGAATGTGTATTATGTATGTGCCTTCTAGCTAGTGTTGATTCCTGGTAGTCCTCGACTTACAACCACAATTGAGCCCAATATTTCTGTTGCCAAGTAAGATATTTGTTAAGTGACTTTACCACATTTTACAACTTTTTTGCCAGAGTTGCTAATTGAATCACCTCAGTTGTTGAGTTAGTAGCACAGTTGTAAGTGAATCTGGCTTCCCCATTGACAGCTTGTCAGAAGATCTCAAAAGATGCAGTAGGCAGAGTCAGCTTGCAATGTTGCATTCTAAACCACGATTTAAACTATTGCATCCAAAGGCAGTTTTTCAATAGAACAAGAACTCCCTGATTTTTATTAATCCCTCTTTACCCATTGCAGTTTTTCTGGGAATTGAAGATTTTTATGGAACACTGTAGATGTTGCAGCAAGCAGGGACTAATGTTATGGAGAATGGAAAAACTATTATGGATATAAACCTAATTTAACATTTAAGATTTTTTATTTATTGGTTTCATTTGTTATTAAATGTATTCGCTGTCTATCTTACTTTGGGCCTTGTCTGGGCAGCTTACAACTATTTACAATGTAGAATTATGAAAAATAAACATAACAATAGTAAAACAATGAAAACAGTTAAAATAAATAATAAAAGTACAATGTGAATTAAAAAAATGGGTGGGGAGGAAGCAGGATTAAAGGTGGGTTCCTATCAGTTCAGACCGGTTTGGCCGAGTAGATAGTTACTCGACCTGCCATGCCCCCGAACCAGTTCTCTTGGTGCTGCTGTAGGCACCGCCATCTTGTTTTTTGTTTCTGCACATGCAGAAGGATGCACAAGTGGGGGGGGGGATGGGAGTCAGATATTAGTCTAATATTCACTCCTAGTGTGGTATTCCTCAGGCCACTCGACAGAGCCAGGTTTTGGGGCTCTTATGAAAGGATAGGAGAGAGGGGCAGATCTCACCAAGGGAGATGGTTAGGGTTTAAACTAAACTGAACATAGTTCAGAAGTAGCTTAAGATCGTTCAAGAAATGGATCTGGCATTTTCTTTTTTCTTTTTCTACTTTGGCATCTGGATGATTTTTTTTAAATCACATTTTAGCAGAAAGGTTGATAAGGAGGAGGGCCAGAGAAAAAGGACTTTGTGGAAGATGTAGACCACAATTCCTCTATTGGCTAAGATTTAAGCTTAGTGATATTTCAGGGTTCTCTTCCACCTTCCCCATTTACCTATGATTTTGTGAAATGGAATTATTTTGTAAACAGAAATGTTCCAACCAAAAATGTTCTAAAAGCAATGTTTTTAAAATGTTTTCTAGGATCTGGGAGAAATTTATATTAGTTACCATATTAACTCATTTTGTTCATTTTTCCTATATACAGTAAATATGAACACAAAATCTTATGTGTTTAAGATTGGTAATACTGTACCAATATGGATTAATCGTTCAATAATCCACAAATTTGCATCCTCATGAAATTGTATTTTGCCCAACTTACCTTACTTCTACTTACTGCCTATTATTTTACATCCACTAAGATGGATTCATTACTTCAGAAGATTCAGAAGATCTTATTCCTAGGGAGGTTATGTGAAAATTAAGATTGGAATTAGGCAAAAAATTCAAGGCAAACCTTATTTAAATAGAGATATGAGTATAAACTTTAGCCTTCCTATTGACATTTTCCTTAGTTTGTCCTGAGGGAGAGGCCTCATTATACAAATTATGGTTGAAGTCTAAAGGGACAATACTGTATAGTGAAATAATCACAAAGAAATATTGGTTTTTTTTCTGGACTTTGGACTTTGAAGCACAAAGGCTGATTAAATGCTTCTTTTATTGCCAAGCCATAGGATGGAATAAAATAGTAATAATGCCAATTTCCCCATAATTGTTATCAAAAAAGGCGGAGTTCAGCCGTGTCAACTCTCCTTTTTACACACAAATAAAAAGGTCCAAAACTGTCCTAGGCAGCATTTTCTCCTGCAAGAGTGCCGGATATATTTTGTTCCTTAGACACATATATATATATACACACTACCAATGGCTCGACCTGGCAATTTCCAAAACCTATCCTTTTTTACAAAAAGTGGAAGACATATCCCTAAAGACTCCCATGGAATGCCAGCCTTTTTCAAACAGTCATGGGGACCACCCAGTGTCTATGGAGGAGCAGGAGGCTCCGGCACCCGAATTTCATATGGCAGTAACTACGACAATACCTTTGGCAATAAGTTGCAACGCAGCAGTTCCATAAATGAACTGCTGCTTACATTCAATGAAAAAACTACCATGCAGAATCTGAATGAACGTTTGGCTGCGTACCTGGAAAAGGTACACACCTTAGAAAGTTCGAACTCTGAGTTTGAAAGAAGGATCCGGGAATGGCATCAAAAGAGTTCCCCTATTGCTAAGCAAGACTATAATGACTTCTTTAAAGTAATCCAAGAACTTCAAGATAAGGTAAGATTCTCTTTCATTTCTGAAGAGTTTACTGCATGAGGCAGTTAAGTGTAGACAATGTATTGTTTCTAAAGGCAAGTTACGTTGCAGTCTGATGGAGGATATGTCATGGTTATGTCATTAATCTAATCATTGTCTTCTAACAATAATATGACATAATGTTTATGAAGGCATTATAAGTGCCTTTCTCTAATTGAATATTGTAGGGCTGTCAGATGCCTACCAATTGTGCAGTAAAAAGAAAAAAAGATGGATAGAGGCTCTGACATTGTATTGTTTGTTTGTTTGTTTGTTTGTTTATTTATTTATTAGACTTATATGCCGCTTCATAGGGCTTTCAGCCCTCTCTAAGCGGTTTACAGATTTTTAGCAAATTGAGTCAGCAAATTGTCCGCACAGTCTGGGTCCTCATTTCACCCACCTCGGAAGAATGGAAGGCTGAGTCAATCTTAAG